CACAGCAGGCGTCTTGCGACGCATGGTTATATTCAAACGCATATAAGCATAACAGGCACAGATTGAGTGTCTAATGACTAATTCTGAATCAGCACAAAATGAACACACTTCAAGGCATAAAAAAATGCTACAGCTTGAATATTTTTATTAAATATTCAAACTGTAACACTTTTAATTTTCTTTCAAAGTAGCGAGTTTGGTTTGCGAAGTGGTTAATAGGCAGTTTATTACAAGCTTAACCAGGCAGTACAAGCGGGTATTTGATGCAAGCTGGACAGATATTCTTTGCATTGATGCAATCTAGGTTTCAGAAACGGCCCGTGAAATCGAGCACGACGCTAAACTAAATATTTTATTTAGCGGTTTTAGACTGAAGTGCAGGTGCTTCTGGGTGGAAGATGAAGGTACAGTGATAGCCAACAACAATAAAGAGACTTTGCCAAGATCACTAGCGTAATCGTTTATGAGCATGGTAAGTATGATGCTAGGGGCTCACTCTTTTGTACCGGTAGAAATATTTACACGGCTTACTGGGAACTCAGCATTTTGTAGCAAATGAAACGCAGATTTATGAAACTAAAGAAGTCGATTTACGTACATATGGCAAAAATCTGGAGTAAAACCGAAATTACCGCCGCGTAGCGGCGGCGCTCGGCTAGTTCATAAAAGATCTGGTAAAGAATGACACTGTCATACCCGATCGCACGTCGCTTGTCCTACCCCTTTACATACCGTCATAGTACCGGTAAGCATGTCAGGACCTACCTACAGTACTGCACCCGTTTTCGCGCCTGATAAACTTCCGCATGTGATGATCCTGAATCCAAATGAACATTATTGGTATGCTAAAATCTAATTGGTTTGCAAATTCTATAGAGTCCACCTCCGCGAAAACAGGGTCCAGTAGGGGTTATCACGGTTGGAAAGTAAGTATGTTTGGTCAGCAATCCTTCATCCGTCAGCTGTGAGGGCCAAAAATCGTGCAGAAAAGTGAAGCTGGAACTACCGCATATTCAACACCAACCAAATCAAACCTTCTGATCGGTTTTCTACCAATCATAACTATTCTTCACTAGCGGCTGCAACCTTCCTCTTTTTTAACCCTTTAGGACCTAAGTCTCTTACGTAAGCATACGATTGGCTTTATATACATTTATAGAACGTTTGCCAGTCCCTTCTGTCGTGCCCTGTCTCTTTATTTTCTAAGAGTCCCAGTTTGGGACTCTAACTCGACCAGAAAGATACCACTATAGTAAATGACCATAAGTCATTGATAGAAATTGCAAAATACGCTAATCTTATTGGCTACATTTTTGGAGGCCCTGGCAGGGACTCTAAGACAGGTCTTAAAGGGTTAAGGAAGGTTTGAGCTGGAAAAAAAACCGGTACGCGAAAATTTGATTTGATTGGCCAGTCAAGCATACTTTTTAACCGTGATAACTCCTAATACTGTATATTCGAGAAATCTTATTATTGTCGTTTATTACACTGTTCCCTGTAGATTTATATTCAGTGTGTCTGACACATCAAGTTCTGTCTTGGAAATGCTACAAAGTGCAATAATTTATCCTGTACCGAATGAGTGTTGACCCAGTGAAGGACCGCTTGATTGACAGGCAGATCCCAGCAAAAGGCTTAGCTCAGCTCATGCGTATCGGCTACCTCCCTAGTGGAGTGTGGTCTGCGTGAGCAACAAGCACTTCGGCTGGCGGGGCATCAAAGGAAAACGGATCGTGAGCTAGATCGACAGCGGCAGGCCATTCGAAGAGCTGGGATGACAGAAGAAGAACGCCAGCAGGAGCTCGAGCGTGTGCGCACTATACGCCAATGCACCCGTCATGGCCATGCTATTTTCCCACGAAGACTTCGACGTGTCCATGATAACGGGTGATGACGTGGTGAACGGCCGGCACAAGCTCCCAGCTACAACCATTTGTCCGATCTGCAGTGCTTGGAAGTGGCCTGGCGAGTCTGCGATATCATGCTGCCTGGTAGGTGTGGTGTAGCGGGATCAGCAAAATCTGCGAGATTGCTGGATCCAACTTACCAACAGCGCCCAGACACCGACTAGCGGAGGGTCCCCCGATGATCCGTGATCTGCTGAGCTTTCCTCAACTTGTGTAGCGGGGTCTTGCTCTCGGTAACTTCCGAAGAGCTTAAGTGGTGGCGCTAAAGTGTCTTGGCGAGACGTGGGGATGGGATGGAGCAGTAGTGGTACGATCTTCACTCTGCATCCGTAGTTGTTTCCGGATCCTTATTTTGAAACGCTGATGACGATATTTTGCCGAGATGGATACGCGCTAGTAGCGCGATAGAGGGAAACTGAGCTTCGTCTTCATCTCGAAACCACTCAAGCACATCTATATGCTTGTACAGGCCCAACAGTGCGTAATGTATCCCGCTCTGAGCATCAATCGACATGGCCTTGGACAGCTCTCCAATCTTGATGTTGGGGTTCTAGCGTTGGGTGAGCCATTCTGGCTTTAAATCAGGCCAGTCTCATACGGGCATCGGCTCTGGCGTTGATCGTGGTCTCTTTTAGCTCATCTCTTATTGTCGTAGCTCGAATGGGTGCCCCTAGTAGAAAATAGTAATCCTCATCCGTTGATGAGGGCGAGGAAAAAGGTGACGAATCTTGGTTCAGTATGCTACGCGGAGACAGCGACCGCTGAAAGAGAGATAGTTCCCCCTCATTCGTTATCAGGGCGAATATCTTTTGGTGCTCGTCCCATAGATAGGCAGCTCCACACTTGTACATTACCTTTTCCTCCTATCGTTGAATATCACCGATGGCTGCAATCTTCTTGGCACTGGACTTAGTCCTAGGATCGAGCAGGACACACGCCACCGACTCGGTGGTGACATTGGGGAAACGGGCCTGCAGCTGCAGGAGCGTTCTTCGAAGTCATGTGTTTCCAGCGTCCGAGAACTGGTCCCACGTCCTCGTGACCGGACAATGACTCGCTTCGTTTGCATCCTTGGTGCCGGGAGCCTTAACAGTTATGGCCTCAAACTGAAAGGTTTTAATTTGCTCTCTGCAAGTCGACGGAACACTACCATGTACGGCGCTACTAGGCTCTCGCTTTGCACCTCCACCAGAGCAAGATTGGCTATGAAATTGGTGGCTGCCTCCATTTCGACTGAGAGCATTCAATCTTAACCTCTTAGTTCCTTTATGTTGGATCTTTCAACATAAGGGGTGTATACCCTAATTCACTTATGTTGCACCTTTTTTATGTTGGAGGTTCAACATAAGCAAAACTTTTACTTAAATTTTTGTATGGGCAACGGTCCATACCCCCCCCGTTCCCCACCATAGTGAAATGAAGTCATTGATATGAGTGTAAAAAGCACAGGCTTCGGTTTAGCTTGGTTGAATGAGTTAGAAAAGGGAGGTACACACCCACTATCGAGCGAGTGGCCACCAGCCACCAACTGCCTCACTCTTCAAAATGACGGCCGAGAGCAACATGGTTTCGCCAACACACAAGACACCGATTCACCACCTCACCGAGCAAGAAAGTCGCCTCGGTCGCGAGGCTCTGTTAAGCGAGCGTCACGAGCTCCACCTTCGACGGACAGAG